CTACTGCCAACCAAATCGCGGAGCCCAGCCGTGGCCCCCGTGTCCGCACACTCTGACTTTCATTGAGTACAAAGCTGGGGGCGTGGTAGGTAGGACGTGGCCTTGGTGGTCAGTGATAGGGTCAAGCACATTATGTGTCATACGGGTAGGGCCCAGCGCTTTCTAGTAGCTGAGATGAGGTGAGGAGCATAATGCGTCAGCACTTTTCCATACTTCCACATAAAGACATTAAGATTTATTTACTTTTACCGATTATCTCTTCTAAGAAAAAAGGGAACCAGGTGCAGAAGCGGATCATGAGAGTGGACGTGGGACGTGACCACTGAAGCACAGCTTCACTTGGAGACAATCGAGCCCCCGATGTCTGCGGGCCTAACTGAGCCCTCAGGCCTACCGCAGGAGCCTGGAGGAGCAGAGCTTTCTCCTCACTCCCCAGAGGAAGGAGAAGTCTCGGCCGTCTTGAACGTCTCCTTCCCTAGCTGGCTAAACAGCGGGCGCTTTCCCAGCGCTGGCGCTGCCACACAGCCGAGGCGTCCTCCAGCAGCCCCCACATGGGCGTGGCACAGGGCTTAAAGCGTCTTGCCTTAGGGTCATTCCTTTCACAATGTCACCCCAGGTTCACAGCTCAAGACCTGAGAGGCATTAGTAAAAGAACTAAGATCACCTATGAATATTAATAACTAAGATTACCTATGAATAACTACTGTGGTTATATCTCTAGTTATTTTCTTCTTCACTGTTTATATGGAAATAGGCTGAGGCTTCTGACTCCTGCCTCAGCACTTACAGGGTCTGCCCCCCACAAAGGAGCCCAGCAGAGCTGGGTTAAAATCCCAGTGTCTTCTTCACTTGGCATGACCTTAGGCAAGACCCTTGACTTTTGTGAAGCCCGAGCCAGGAGGTCAGGGCTGCAGTGTGCTGTGTTCGCACCACTGCACTCCAGCCTGGATGAAAGAATGAGACTGTCCACTCTCAAAAAAAAAAAATGGCTGGTTGAGGTGGCTCACACATGTAATCCCAGCACTTTGGGAGGTTGAGATGGACAGATCACAAGGTCAAGAGTTCTAGATCAGCTGGGCCAACATGGTGAAACATTGTCTCTACTAAGAATACAAAAATTAGCCAGGCGTGGTGGCCAGTGCCTGTAATCTCAGCTACTTGAGAGGCTGAGCCAGGAGAATTGCTTGAGTTTAGGAGGCAGGGTTGCAGTGAGCCAAGATCATGTCCTTGCACTCCAGCCTGGGTGACAGAATGAGACTCCATCTCAGAAAAAAATAAAAAAAACTAGAAAGAAATACAACAAAATGTTAGTAGTATTTTGAGTGGTGGGGAAAGAATGCCCACTTTTATCAAATGTTCTTCAGTTAGAACTTATTCATTTTATTTTAAACTTTTGTTAACTCTGATTAAAAGTCTTCTGTTACTTTTTTTTTTTTTTTTTTGAGACAGACTTTCACTCTTGTCACCCAGGCTGGAGTGCAATGGCGCTATCTCGGCTCACCGAAACCTCCGCCTCCTGGGTTCAAGCAATTCTCCTGCCTCAGCTTCCTGAGTAGCTGGGACTACAGGCATGCATCACCATGCCCAGCTAATTTTTGTATTTTTAGTAGAGACAGGGTTTCACCATGTTGACCAGGATGGTCTCGATCTCTTGACCTTGTGATCCACCCGCCTCAGCCTCCCAAAGTGCTGGGATTACAGGCGTGAGCCACCGCGCCTGGCCGTCTTCTGTTACTTTTATAGTGACAACAAAACTAAATAAAGCCTTTGTGTCAGGTCTCCACGTGCAAGCCTGGACCCAGAAAGTCTGAAGCTTGCCTGCCTCGGCTAATCGTCCACCCCGCACCTGCATTTGCCATTGTCCCTAATCGCCCAGCAGAGCTTCCTGGGACAAGCTCTTACCCCACCCTGCCATCTTAACTGTTCTCTTTTTAAAATTTTTTTTTTTTTTTTTTTTTTGTCAATCAATGAGAGCATGTAACGTTGCTCAGGTTGGCCTTGAACTCATGGCCTCGCCTCCTCAAGCGCCAGGACAACTGGCCGGAGCCACCGTGGCCCCCAAGTGTTCTTATGATAATGTGAATACCTCTCACCCAACCCTGCCATCTTAACTGTTCTTATGCTTATGATAACGTGAATGCTCCTTGCCCCATCCTGCCATCTTTTCTTCAGCCTTACCCCACCCACCATTGTAACTGAACTTGTGGCCATGTACACTCCTTGCCCCTACCCCCCACCACTGTAACTGATTTTACTGCGCCACACCCCACCCCACAAAAATTATCCCAACCTATAAAACCAGTTCCCACCCTTACCCCCTTCACCTGTCCTTTCTCTCATTCATCCCACTTGTACCCAAGAGAGAAATAAAATGGCCTTGTCACCCACACAAAGCCTGTTTGGAAAATCTCTTCATTAAATGTGTTTAATATTCAGTACTATTGGACGTGAATAAAATTTTGCACAATACCTATATCATCTTATTCAATCCTCAGAATCTGCTGAGAAAGAATTATTTCTCCTATCTTATATTAAAAAGTTTTTTAGAGACAGGGTCTTACTCGGTTGCCCAGGCATGATTATGGTCACTGCAGCCTCCACCTCCTGGGCTGAAGCCACCCTCCTGCCTCAGCCTCCTGCGTACCTGGGACTACAAGTGCATGCTATCATGTCTGGCTATTTTATTTTGTTTTATCCATTTCTTTATTTTTTGAGATGGAGTCTGGCTCTGTCACCTAGGCTGGAAGTGCAGTGGTGCTATCTCGGTTCACTGCAACCTCTGCCTCCCAGGTTCAAGCTATTCTCCTGCCTCAGCCTCCCATGTAGCTTGGACTACAGAAGCCTGCCACCATGCCTGGCTAATTTTTGTATTTTTAGTAGAGACAGGGTTTCACCATGTTGGCCAGGTTGGTCTCGAACTCCTGACCTTGTGACCCACCCACCTTAGCCTCCCAAAGTGTGGGAATTGCAGGTGTGAGTTACCGTGCTGGTCTTTATTTTCATATTTATTTATTTATTTATTTATTTATTTTTTGAGACGGCGTTCGCTGTTGTTACCCAGACTGGAGTGCAATGGCACGATCTTGGCTCACCGCAACCTCCGCCTTCTGGGTTCAAGCAATTCTCCTGCCTCAGCCTCCCAATTAGCTGGGACTACAGGCGCGCACCACCATGCCCAGCTAATTTTTGTATTTTTAGTAGAGACGAGGTTTCACCTTGTTGGTCTCGATCTCTTGACCACCCGCCTCGGCCTCCCAAAGTGCTGGGATTATAGGCGTGAGCCACCTCGCCCGGCCTATTTTTATTTATTTATTTGAGGTGGAGTCTCAGTCTGTCACCCAGGCTGGAGTGAAGTGGCTCCATCTTGGCTCACTGCAACCTCTACGCCCCCCCCTGCCCCCCAACCCCAGGATCAAGCAAGTCTCTTGCCTCAGCCTCCTGTGCAACTGGAATTACAGGCTCGGGCCACCATGCCCGGCTAATTTTCTGTATTTTTAGTAGAGACAAGGTTTTGTCATGTTGGCCAGGCTGGTCTTGAACTCCTAATCTTAGGCAATCCACCTGCCTCAGCCTCCCAAAGTGCTGGGATTACATGCATGAGCCACCGTGCCGAGCCTCATTTTATTTTATTTTATAACAGGCAGTGATCCTCCTGCCTTGGTCTCCCAAAGTGCTGGGATTATAGGCATTAACCACCTCACCCAGCCTCTTCTGTTTTTTTTTTTTTTTTTTTTTTTTTGAGATGGAGTCTCCCACTGTCTCCCAGGCTGGAATGCAGTGGCGTGATCTTGGTTCACTGCAACCTCTGCCTCCTGGGTTCAAGCAATTCTCTTGACTTGGCCTCCCGGGTAGCTGGGACTATAGATGCACACTGCCATGCCCTGATATATATATATATATATATTTTTTTTTTTTTTTTTTTTTTTTTTGAGACGAGTTTCATCTCATTGCCCAGGCTGGAGTGCAATGGCGTGACTCAGCTCGCTGCAACCTCCGCCTCCTGGGTTCAAGCAATTCTCCTGCCTCAGCCTCCCGAGTAGCTGGGATTACAGGCACGCACCACCATGCCCAACTAATTTTGTATTTTTAGTAGAGACGGGGTTTCACCTGGTTGACCAGGATGGTCTCGATCTCTTGACCTCGTGATCCACCCGCCTCTGCCTCCCAAAGTGCTGGGATTACAGGTGTGAGCCACGGCGCCCGGCTATATTTTTTTGTATTATTTTAGTAGATATGTGGTTTCCCTGTTGTCCAGGCTGGTCACGAACTCCTGAGCTCAGGCAATCCGCCCACCTCAGCCTCCCAAAGTGCTGGGATCATAGGCGTGAGCCACCATGCCCGGCCTTCTCACTGTTTTAGAGAGTAGGAAACTGAGTCTCAAGCAAAGTGACTTGCCTAACGTCACATAAGGAACAAGAGGGAAGCTGTGATTTGAACCTATGTTGGTCTGAGGGACAGGGAAATGGAAAAGACTTATCTTGTGCCTGCGGGGTCAGGATAAGTGGTCGGTCTGCATCCTAATCAGATTTTTCTTTAGCCTTAGGAAGGTTTTTTTTACCTAGAATTGGCGAGATGCGTGGTGGCTTAAGCCTGTGATCCCAGCACTTTGGAAGGCCGAGGTGGGAGGATTACTTGAGTCCAGGAGTTCTAGGCCAACGTGGGCAATAATTGTAGAAAGGGTATCGGAGTCCTGGAGAGATAACGAGTTCCCCTTTGCCAGGAGGTGTCTGATAGAGGACCACAGAGGGTCCTGGAGGGACATTCAGGAACCCTGACACTCCATCTTCCTCCTCAAACCAAAGGGCAGGGCTATGTCCCTCCCATGAGCCGCAGAACAAGATGGGCCTTGTTCTAACTGGGAGCACTTCTGAAGGGGCCTCTGGGACTTCTGCATCTTCATCATCGCCCCTCCCCCATGGGGTACCGCGGGGGTCAGTGGGGCGGGGCATCGGTAGGGCGTGGCTGCGGGGCTGGGTTTCGGCAAGCGGGGCGGGGCGAAGGCGAGGCGGGACTTCAGGGCCGCACGCCTGCCAGCCCCTCAGTCTGAGCCCAGAGAGACATGGGCACCATGGAACCCATGCCGCTGCAGGACTTCATACGCACCCTGGACCTCGCCTCCCTCCCGCGCGTGCTGCGAGTCTCCTCGGGGTACTACTATTCGAGTAAGCAGGGGCTGGAAACCCTCCGAGTACTCCCTAGCTGTGGGGCGGGGGCAGACCCCCGAGAGGGCGTGAGCAATCCCGGGAACCGCCTGGGTTCAAATCCCGACGCTGCCATTGGCCAAGCTGTGTGATTTGGGGCCTCACTCAACCTCTCTGGATCACAGCTTTTGCTTTCGTGGAATGGGGACCGCCGACTTGCCCCGAGGGTGGTGATGAAAAGGTGATTGCAAAGGAGCCACCCTGAGGTGGCCCCGCGGTGCGCAGGGGACGCAGGTCCGACCGCGGCGGAACGCAGCATTAGGGCCCTAGTGGTCGTAACTGCGTCTTGATTCTGAAGTGCGGAGTCAGTAGGCTTCCCGACTTTGTCCTTCCACTCCTCCCACTGGCCGTCCTCTACACTGCCATCCTTCAGTCCCTGCGTCCACCTTGGCCCTCTGCTTGACCGAGGGCGGTACTTGATTTGGTCAGCTATTCAGTTCTCAGCTTATATGGCGCTTCCTCCCGGAAGCCTTCCCGGCTCTCTGCTCCCTGCACGCTGGTACATCCACCACCTGCCGGCAGCGGTGGATGGGCACCCAGCAGGCGCAAAGTCACTATTCATTGCCTGAAAGAGCAAGAGTTGAGGGACTGACAAACAGTGGAAGGCAGGGGAAGACAGCACAGGGGATGGGTGGCCAGGGCTGCTCTGTGGGGAGGGAGGACCCGTGGGCCACTAAGTGGGGGAGATGGAAGGTGGAGGAGAGAGATGCTGTGTGGGGTGCGGGTTCCTTCCTTAGAGAGGGAACTAAGCCTTGAGGCCCCTGCCCCGTCCTGTTCCCTGGCTGCAGAAAACCTTGCTGTGCCACAGCTGCTTCCAACAGAGTGTTTGGGGGACCCAGACCAAGGAGGTTCCTCATGGTGGGTCCCGCAGGGGGCCACCACCTCACAATGGGTCTCTCCAGGTCTGCTTGTGAATCTGGTGGATGTGGGTTCAAATTCTGTCTCTACCTCCAGGGGCTTCATGCAGGCAGGCACCTCATCTGTTTGCTCTTCCCCCAGTCCAACCCAAGCGTCTCTGTCCTCCCAGCACTCTTGCCTTCTGGTGTCGCAAACGTGTTTCCTCATCCTGCTGAGGCGGGGTGGTGGAAGTCAGGGTGATGGTGACTAGAGAAGGCCCTGACGAGGTGTGGGTGTGCAGGGTGAGTGTGGAGGACAGATGGCCATGCCAATAGGGGCAGGCGTCTGGCAGGGCACTGGGAGGTGGTTGGCTTCATAGTTAGAAGTGCTGGCTTTGGAAGCAAATGCCATGGGTTCAACTCCTAGGTTTTTATTTTATTTTTTTGATAAGAGTCTGGCTCTGCTCAGGCTGGAGTGGAGTGGAACCTTCACAGCTCACTGCAGCCTTGACCTCCTGGGCTCATGATCCTCCCACCTCAGCTTCCTGAGAAGCTGGGACCACAGGCGTGCACCACCACGCCCAGCTAATTTTCATATTTTTTGTAAATATGGGGTTTTGTCACATTGCCCAGGCTGGTCACACATCCCTGGGCTCAAGTGATCTGCCTGCCTCAGCCTCCCAAAGTGTTGGGATTACAGGCATGAGTCACCACACCAGGACTTGTTTTTTGTTTAATGAAACGTAGACCAACTTGTGCAACACAGATCCTGTTTTTTTTTTTGAGACAGGGTCTCACTATCTCAGAGGTGCATTCACAGCTCACTGCAACCCCAACCTCCCAGCCTCAAGCAGTCCTCCCACCTCAGCCTCACGAGTAGCTGGAACTACAAGGATGCACTATCACACCCAACTGATTTTTTTATTTTGTGTAGAGACACAGTCTCACTATGTTACCTAGAAGCATGTCTGAAACCCCTGAGTTCAAGTGACCCTCCTGCCTCAGACTCCCAAAGTCTGGGCGACAGTGAGACCCTGTCTCAAAAAAAGGAACAGGGGTCTGTGTTGCCCAGGTTGGTGTTGAACTCCTATCCTCAAGCAGCCCTCCTACTTTAGCCTCGCAAAGTGTTGGGATTACAAGTGTGAGCCAGCACAGCCAGCCATAACTTCTAGTTCTGATTCCTAATACCTGATTTTTTTTTCTTCTTTCTTTCTTTCCTTCTCTCTCTTTTATTTATTTATTTTACATATGAGGTTTCACCATGTTGGTCAGGCTGGTCTTGAACTCCTGACCTCAGGTGATCCTCCCACCTTGGCCTTTAAAGTGCTTGGATTACAGGCATGAGCCACCATGCCTGGCCTATTTATTTACTTACTTTAAAATCTTTTCTTTTTTTCTTTCCTTCCTTCTTTTTTTTTTTTTTTTGATATGGAGTCTCCGTCTGTCACCCAGACTGACTTTAGCTCACTGCAACCTCTGACTCCCGAATTAAAGCTGTTCTCCTGCCTTAGCCTCCCAAGTAGCTGGGATTACAGGCGCCTGCATCACGCCCAGCTAACATATCATAATTTTCTTTTTTTTTAAATGGAGTCTCGCTCTGTTGCCCAGGATGGAGTGCAGTGGCTCAATCTCAGCTCACTGAAACTTCCGCCTCCTGGGTTTAAGCAATTCTCCTGCCTCAGCCTCCCAAGTAGCTTGGATTACAGGCACCTGCCACCACACCTGACTAATTTTTGTATTTTTAATAGAGATGGGGTTTCACCATGCTGGCCAGGCTTGTCTTGAACTCCTGACGTGAAGTGATCTGCCTGCACCAGCCTCCCAAAGGGCTGGGATTATAGACCTGAGCCACCATGCCTGGCCAGCTGTTTCATTATTTAGGAAATTGAAACTGCCTGTCTCCGCAAGAGCAGTCATGAGTCTTGAATGCAATGATGCGTCAGCAGCCCTTAGCAAGGGGCCAGATAACTATAGCACCACAGCTTCTGTTCTCACCAGTCTGGAAGGCCCATGCCCTGACATTAGGGTAGACGGAACTGTGCTTTATGACCTGTTGCCATTGTCTTGGGGATACACAGGGAGATTTTCATCAGTTTCTCAGGGCTGATGTGAAGGAGTCTGTTGGGGCTGCTCTGTGGGAGGGGCTGGGGTCAGGTGGGCTCAGGGCCACCTGCCATACAGTCTGTCCTCCTTCATTAGCTGGATGGAGAGCCTGTGCACATGACAGATGTTTGTTGGGTACCTCCTTATGCACATTACAGATATTTATTGGGTACCTTCTGATTTCTCGACACTGCTTACACACTTTATTTATTTATTTATTTATTTATTTTGAGATGGAATTTCGTTCTTGTTACCCAGGCTGGCGTGCAATGGCGTGATCTCGGCTCACTGCAACCTCCGCCTCCTGCGTTCAGGCAATTCTCCTGCCTCAGCCTCCTGAGTAGCTGGAATCACAGGCATGCGCCACCATGCCCAGCTAATTTTTTGTATTTTTAGTAGAGATAGGGTTTCACCATGTTGACCAGGATGGTCTCGATCTCTTGACCTCGTGATCCTCCCGCCTCGGCCTCCCAAAGTGCTGGGATTACAGGCTTGAGCCACCACGCCCAGCATTGCTTACACACTTTAAACCAGGAAAGCAGAACCTTGCCCACTGGGCCTCACTCTGTCGGTGCCCCTCTATTCTTCAGGGTGCTGGGGGGGCTGGGCTCCAGGTGACCCCACTCTGAGCCTGACTTTGGGAATTGGGATTCCTTTAGTGTACAGCAACAAAATCAGGCTCAGAGAGGGTGATTCACTGGGTTATTGACTGGTTTGTGGACTTACCACACACCCAGAGGCCAAGCCCTGTGCTGGCTGCAGTGATGAGAGGGATCAGCCCTACCTGGGAATTCAGTGTAGGAGGCACGGGGATATGCAAAAGGCTAGAGAAGTGTGCCACAGAGGGGCACACGGACAGCTAAGGACGGCTGAACCTGTGAGCATGAGGCAGGGACGACAGCAGGGCATACCAGGCAGCAGGCACCATGTGCAAAGGTGTGACAGCAGAGCTTGTTGGGCACCGGAGCACAGGCTGCTCCACTCTTGGCTCTTGCACAGCGGGGAAACTGAGTCCATGTCTTCGCAGGCTCCATCTATGACATCGGGGGGAAAGAGTGCTGCCTCTGCACGGGGGACCTGATCAAGGTCACCCAGGTTCGCCTCCAGTATGTGATCTATGAGAACCCGAAGATGAAAATGGTGGTCAGGACAATTGACCCCAACTTCCAGGGTAAGGTGGTCACCTCTGCCTCCCCACATGCCCTGGCATTTTCCTGGCACACTCATGGGCTGCTTGAGGGCTTGCCAAATCCAGCAGTCACTCCCTCCTCTCTGGGGTTTGCTCACGAGGCCCTCACATCCACCACGACCCAGGCTCGAGGGTGAGGATGTCCTCAGAGGGTCTGCAATCCTCTGAATGCAGAGGTTGCGCCCTCTCCCTTTCGGTCTCTGGTCATCACATTGGCTTCTGTTCAGGCCTTGTCCAGATGCCTGTCTGTTCACTCTACACATTAACTCCCCAAACAGCTGCAGATGCCCATGTGTGCCGAGCTGTGTGGGGTGCTGTGGGTGTGGGGCTCTGCAGACACCCATGTGTGCCAAGCTCTGTGTGGGGGGCTGTGGGGCTCAGGATGAACCAGGTGCTGCCCTCTCCAGTGGGGAGCTTCTGTGACAGTGAGAGGAGGGAAATAGTATAAGGAGGCATAAGCTTTAGAGAGGGCTCTGAGCAAGAGTAACTTGCCTCAGGGTCTGTGATGGCTTCCTGGAGGAGGCGGCAACTGAGCCAAAGGAAAGATCCCAGTCAGAGGGAGTAGCATGTGCACATTTGGTGCTCAGGAAACCCCAAGGAGCTAAGTTATTTTAAGAGGCATGTAGTGTGGTGGACCATGGCTTGGACCCTGAAGCCAGTGGCCTGGAATCAAATTCCAGCTCTGCTGGCTACTAGCTCTGGCCTTGGGCAAGGTAAGCAAGTTCCTGGGACCTCTCTGGGCCTCAGTTTCCTCTTCTGTAATGAGAGTGATGAGGCATTATGTGAGGATGAAATGAGCTGATACATATACAGCACTTAGAAGCGGGGGGCCTGGGACAGGCTGGGCATGGTGACTGGTGGCTCACGCCTGTGATCTGGCCGAGGTGTGTGGATCACTTGAGGTCAGGAGTTCGAGACCAGCCTGGCCAACATGATGAAAACCCATCTCTGCTAGAATTACAAAAATTAGCTAGGGGCGGGGTGGGGGGCACCTGTAATCCCAGCTATTTGGGAGGCTGAGGCATGAGAATCACTTGAGTCTGGGAGGTAGAGGTTGCAGCTTGGACAACCGAGTGAGACTCAGTCTCATAAAAAAGTGTGCCTGGGGCAAAGCAGGCACCCTGGGGACTGGCTGTTATGGGACTGCCTGCCAGATGCCATAGAGCGTGGCTTCCAGGTTTGGGTCAAGTTGTCGAGGGAGTAGCAGGAGCCAGACTATCTGGGGGCTGTATGTTGCACTGACACTTTTCTTTAATTTTGAAGGCTAAGGAGCCAATTAGGTTTTTTATCTTGTCTTTAGAGACAGGGTCTCCTTACATTGCCCAGCCTGGTCTCAAACTCTTGGGCTCAAGCCATCCTCCTGCCTTGGCCTCCCAGAGTGTTGGGATTACAGGCGTGAGCCGCCACCTCCGGCCCCAATGATGGTTTTCAATATGGAAGTAATATATTCTGTATTTGAGTCTTGTCTTTTTCTGTTGAAATAATGTTAAACTTACAGAACCAGAATTTGCTAGAACTCCTGTACACCCTTTATCCAGATTCTTTTCTTTTTTTTTTTTTTTTTGAGATAGTCTTGCTCTATTTCCCAGGCTGAAGTGCTGTGGCTTGATCTCAGCTCACTACAACCTCCATCTCCAGGGCTGAAGCAATCCTTCTGCCTCAGCTTCCCAAGTAGCTGGGACTACAGGCCTGTGCCATGATGCCCTGGTGTGATCTCAGCTTATTGCAACCTCCACCTCCTGGGTTCAAGCAATTCTACTGCCTCAGCCTCCTGAGTAGCTGGGATTACAGGCATGCCCCACCACACCTGGCTAATTTTTGTGTGTTTTAGTAGAGACAGGGATTCACTATATTGGCCAGGCTGGTCTCGAGCTCCTGACCTTATGATCCACCTGCCTCGGCCTCCCAAAGTGCTGGGATTACAGGCGTGAGCCACCGCACCCCGCATTTTTTGTATTTTTCGTAGAGACAGAGTTTTGCCATATTGCCCAGTCTGATCTCCAACTCCTGAGCTCAAGTGATCTGCCCTCCTCAGCCTCCCAAAGTGCTGGGATTACAGGGGTGAGCTACCATGCCTGGCCAATTTGTAAATTTTTTGTAGAGACAAGGTCTTACTACATTGCCCAAATGGGTCTGGAATTCCTGGGCTCAAGCAATTCTCCTGCCTTAACCTCCCAAAGTGCTGGGATTACAGGGGTGAGCCACTGTGTCTGGCCAAAATGACATCAGGTTTCCCTATTTCCCTATTTTTTTCCCCCATCACATGTTAAACATTTGTGACATGTGCTTTCTCCCTCTGTCCCCACACATGCACACATATGAATGTATTACTCTATGTGTATATATGGGTATGTTTTTTCTGAACCATTTGAGAGTAAATTGCAGACATGATTCCTTTTACATCTATATTTTACCCCTAAATATTATAGTATCTCCCCAAAACAAGACCATTCATTCCCATGGTTCATTGATAAAATTCAGGAAATGTAATCTTAGTGCAGCACTAAATCCGTGATCTATGTTTGGATTCCAGCAACTATCCTGATATATGTTTTATAGCAGTTTTCCCCTTAATCCAGAGTCCAGTCGTAGATCACACATCATATTCAGTTGTCCTATTTCTTTTTTTTTTTTTTTTATGACGGGGTTTCACTGGGTTGGTCAGGCTAGTCTTGAACTCCTGACCTCAGGTGATCCGCCCGCCTTGGCCTCCAGAGTGCTTGGATTACAGGAGTGAGCCACCACGCCCGGCCCCGTTGTCCTATTTCTTCATTCTCCTTCAGGCTGGAACATTCCTCTGCCTTTTTCTTGCCACTGACATTTTGAAGCATCTAGACCAGTACTTGTGCAGAATATCCCTCAGTCCCAGCTTGTGCTGTGTTTCTTCGATTAGCTTCAGGTTGTGGGTCTAGGGCAGGAAAAGCCCACTTCCAGAAGCAGTACCAGGTCTGGAAGGGAGGTGTTGAGGCCAGCTGGTGGCAGAATGGGTGGGGGCTGGAGGGAGGAGGTGCGGGGGCAGTCGGGCAGCCGTATTGGCAGGATGCAGGGGTGAAGTGGGTGGTCTGAGGTGGCTCTGGGCTGTAGCTCCTGGGATCTTAGTTTGGGAGAGAGGGATAGTGGCATTGCTGCAGGATGGGGGCCATAGTTTTTGGATGAGTAGAACTGGAGCTGTGGGGAGGCATCTGGAGAAAAGGTAAGATGGCAAATTGAGAGGCACGCTAGGAGCTAGGAGTGTGGAAGTCCAGTGTGTCTGCCAGGAAATATGACCCTCTTCCATTCTGTCTCTAGTGACAGACCCTACTTCCTGCCCCTCCCTGTCCCTTCAGGCACTGCCACTTCCTGCCCTGTGTCCCTCAGCCCTGCAGCCCCGATGTCCAGACTCAAGTCCTTCCTTGACACTGGTCCCCAGGGGATTCTGGCTGGGTCATCTGCAGGACCAGACTGAGGCCAGGACCTGGCAAACGCTGACCCCACCCTGACACCCCACAATGACCTTCCCACTCTGCTATCCCCCACAGGCCACTTCGTCTCCCTCAAGACCTCTCAGAGCTACGAAACCCTGGAGGAACTGGTCTTTGACATAGATCGGAGCTCCAAGCAGCAGCTGCCCATTTACATCATGTCGACCCGCAGGATTGTCACAGAGGGCAGGGTGGTGACTGACGACCAGGTCCTCATTTTTGAGGATATGGTGCGACGCCGCCACACCTCCTGTGCCCGCTGCATCCTGGTCACGGAGGGTGAGCGGGTCATCCTGCACCTGCCCCTAAACCAGAGGGGGCCCTTCAGGATATTGGAACCCAGTGCTCCTCAAACTCTGCTCCAGGCCCTGCAGGAACCGAAGGACCGGCTCTTCACCTGCCCCACCCTGCCCTGGGACCATGTGACCCTGAGGCCCACGTATGAGATTGAAGCCATCATGCACAGTGAGTTGCCTGGGCAGGTGGATGATGGGGGCTGTTGGGAGAGAAAGAGGGGTGCCCCGGGGAGCTGCTCTGATGGAAGACACTCCCACCCTATCCCTGCAGATCAGCAGGAACTTCAGATTGCTCCCTCTGTATTACACTGCAGTTATTCTTATTGATGCTCAAATTATTTCAGCTAGGCCAGGCACAAGGGCTCAGGTGTGTAATCCCGCACTTCAGAAGACTGCTTGATCTCAGGTGTTCCACACCAGACTAGGCAACATAGCAAGACCCCCATCTCTATAACATTTTTTTAAATTAGCTAGCAGCCAGGCATGGTGGCTCACACCTGTAATCTCAGCACTTTGGGACTCCCAGGCAGGCGGATCACCTGAGGTCGAGAGTTCGAGACCAACCTGGCCAACATGGAGAATCTCCATCTCCATTAAAAATACAAAAATTGGCTGGGCATGGTGGCTCATGCTTGTAATCCAAGCACTTTAGAGGCCAAGGCGGGCAGATCACCTAAGGTTGGGAGTTCAAGACCAGCCTGACCAACATGGTGAAACTCCAACTTAAAAAAAAAATACAAAAATTGGCTGAGTGTGGTGGCGCATGCATGTAATCCCAGCTACTCGAGGCTGAGGCAGGAGAATTGCTTGCACCCGGGAGGCAGAGGTCGCGATGAGCTGACATCGTGCCGTTGCACTCCAGCCTGAGCAAGAAGAGGAGACTCCGTGTCACAAAAAAAAATTAGCTAGGCATAGGCATAGTGCTTGTAGTACCAGCTACTCCAGAAGCTGAGGCAGGAGGACTGCTGGAGCTCAGGAGTTCAAGGTTGTAGTAAGCTATTATCACACCCTTGCACTCCAGCCTGGGCAACGGAGCAAGATCTCATCTTTTTTTGTTTTTGAAAGGGAGTCTTAGGCTCGGTGTGGTGGCTCGCGCCTGTAATCCCAACACTTTGGGAGGCTGAGGCAGGAGGATCACCTGAGGTCGAGAGTTTGAGACTAGCCTGACCAACATGAAGAAACCCCATCTCTACTAAAAATGCAAAAGTAGCTGGGCATGGTGGCACGCCTGTAATCCCAGCTACTCTGGGGGCTGAGGTAGGAGAATCACTTGAACCCAGGAGGTGGAGGTTGTGGTGGGCCGAGATCGTGCTATGGCACTCCAGCCTGGGCAACAAAGAGCAAATCTCCATCTCAAAAACAAAAGAAAGAAAAAGAAACGGGAGTCTTGCTCTGTCAGCCAGGCTGGAGTGCAATGGTGGATCTTGGCTCACTGCAACCTCTGCCTCACAGATTCAAGTGATACTCCTGCCTCAGTCTCCCGAGTAGCTGGGATTACAGGCATTTGCCATGGTACCCAACTAATTTTTCTATTTTTAGTAGACAGGGTTTTGCTACGTGCCATGCTGGCCAGGTTGGTCTTGAATTTCTGGCCTCAAGATCTGCTTACCGTGAACTCCCAAAGGGCTAGGATTACAGGTGTGAGCCATCACTCCCGGCCCTTTTTTTGCTTTTTTTTTTTTTTTTTGAGACAGTCTCAGTCTGTCACCCATGCTAGAGTGCAGTGGCATGATCTCAGCTCACTGCAACTTCTGCCTCCCAGGTTTAAGTGATTCTTCTGCCTCAGCCTCCAGAGTAGCTGGGATTACAGGTGTGCACCACCACATCTGGCTAATTTTTTTTTAAGATGAAGTTTCAAGCTCTTGTCACCCAGGCTGGTGTGCAATGGCATGATCTTGGCTCACTGCAACCTCTGCCTCCTGAGTTCAAATGATTCTTCTCCCTCAGCCTCCTGAGTAGCTGGGATTACAGGCATGAGCCACCACACCCACCTAATTTTTTGTGTTTTTAGTAGAGATGGGGTTTCACCATGTTGGCCAGACTGGTCTCAGACTCCTGAGCTCAGGCAGTCTGCCCATCTCAGTCTCCTAAAGTGCTAGGATTACAGGCGTGAGCCACTGCCCCCAGCCTGTAGTGATCTTTCTAGAAATAATGATCCCCTCTTAGAGACATACTGAGATGGTCACACATGGCCTGATGTGATTATTCTGATTCAGAATGCCCCAGCAGAGCAGGAGTGGAAGGGCCACAGGCTGAAGCAGATGGGCCATGAGTTAAATGTTGAAGCTGGGTGATGGGTCCATAGGGGAGCACTGTACTATTCTATTTTATAAATGTTTAAAAATAGGCTGGGTGCAGCGGCTCACCCTATAATCCTAGCACTTTGGGAGGCTGAGGCAAGGGTATCTCGAGGTCAACAGATGGAGACCATCCTGGCTAACATGGTGAAATCCCACCTCTACTGAAAATACAAAAATTAGCCGGGCGTGGTGGTGCACGCCTGTACTCCCATCTACTCAGAGTGAGACTCTTTTTCAAAAAAAAAGGTTGAATGGAAAGCATGGGTGGGAATGTGGTGCAATAGGAAGATTCTGATTGGAAGGAAAAGATGGCAGCAGGAGGGAGGCAGCCGGCCCAGCCATTCCTCTGTGCCAAGGATGGGGCCACTCCTGGGGTGGCATGCAGTGCCGCTGAGCTGCCCCTTTCAACAGTGCGCAGGACTGTCATCAAGATCCCCTCCAACCTGGAGGTCGACGTGGAGGATGTCACTGCCTCCTCTCAGCACATCCACTTCATCCAACCACTGCTGCTGAGTGAGGTCCTGGCCCGGGAAGGCCCCTTCCCCCTGTCCGTGGAGATCCTGGAGGTTCCTGAAGGGCGCCACATCTTCCTCAGCCAATGGGTGCACTCCTTGAAGAAAGGCCAGAGGCTTTGCATCTACGGCTTATCCTCACCACCCTGGCGGGTCCTGGCCTCAAACAGGGGCCACAGGCTGCCCAGGTACTTCCTGGTGTCAGGGGCCTACCAGGGCAAGATGCGGCGGCGGCCGAGGGAGTTCCCCACGGCCTATGACCTCCTGGGTGCATTCCAGCCAGGCCGGCCACTCCGGGTGGTGGCCACAAAGGACTGTGAGGGCGAGGGAGAGGAGAATCCTGAGTTCACATCCCTGGCTGTGGGTGACAGGCTGGAGGTACTGGGGTCTGGCCTGGCCCATGGGGCCCAGGGCAGTGACATTGACGTCTTGGTTTGTCGGCGGCTGAGTGATGAGGATGAGGAGGAAGAGTGTGAAGAGGAGGCAGAGAGGCCAGAGCGGGTCTTCCTGCCCCTCCACTGCCCTGGCAGCTTCGTGGAGGAGATGAGTGACAGCCGGCGCCACAGCCTGGCAGATCTGATTGCCCAGTTCTCACTGCCTTGTGAGGTCAGGGTGATGGTCAAGGATCCCAGTTACCCCAGTGACCCTCTGACTGCTGTACTGGGTCTGCAACTGGAGGAGAAGATCACAGAGCCCTTCTTGGTGGTCAGCCTGGACTCTGAGCCTGGGATGTGCTTCGAGATCCCTCCCCGGTGGCTGGACCTGACTGTTGTGGAGGCTGAGGTGCAGCCAGACCGGCCAGGGGGGTCTGTGCCCATAGCCACAGTGGAGGAGCTGCCAGACACCTTCTATTACACTCTTCGGAAGTTAGCAGCCTGTGAGATCCAAGCCCCTCCGCCAAGGCCCCCTAAAAGTCAGGGACTCAGTGGGCAGAGGAGACACAGCAGCGAGAAGGAAGGCATGAAGGTACCAGTATAATCCCAGCGGGCAGGGAGGGGTCACTTATTGGGATCACTGCTTCTGTCACGTCTGTCTGTCATGTTTCTCTTATAACTGGATAAACTTGCAGTTTGTAAGCCTGCACACATTGCAGCCCGTAATTCTCATTCCATCTCACAGTCAGTCCTGAGGTTGGTGTGATTATCTCTATGTTATGACTGAGAAAATGAGGACTCGCCCAGGGTCCCTGTTAGTAAGTGGCAGGACTGAACTCGGCCTTGGACATTCCAACTCCAAGTTCATGGTGCTTTCCTCTCTCCACCACCTCTGCCTTCACTCCCTAGTTCGAGCCTCATCATCTTTGTCCTGAACTGCTTCAGCAGCCTCTTAACAGCTGTCAGAAGATCCTCCTCACTCTTTTCTTGGTCATTGATGGGCCTCAGCTCCATCTTCTGGAACTTTCTGTGGCTCCCCATCACTGTGGGATGATACAAACCCCTCAACATGGCAGCCAGGGTCCTTTATAAGCTGACTTGTCTCACCTTCCTGGACCCATCTCCCATCACTCTGCTGTCCACTCTCCAGTGAGGGAAGTGCCCGCAGCTCCCTCGTGGCGCCAGGACTCCCGCTTCAGACCCCCACACCCAGGCCTTCTGCCAGCAGTGTTCTTCCTTCAGCCTCACAGGCAAGGCGGGGCTCAGATTTCCCGCTCAGCAGTAGTGGTCCTGCCTCCTCTCCTGTACTCCCACTGTGCGCTCTAAGTAGCTCAGGACATGTCTTTTAGGGAGTCCTATCTGAGAGTGGCCGGAAAGAGTTCTCCGAGGGCAGGGACCTTACCTGCTCCAAGGCCGGAAGAGTACCGTGAAATGAGCCAAATAGTCACAGATGAGCAGGGAAGAGCCAGGCACAGGGTCAGAAAGACTAAGTTTACGTTCCGGTTCACTGACTCTGTGCTCGTGCATGGTACTCTGGCGTTCTTTTTCTCACCAGTAGACCTGCGATACCATCCTCAGCTGCTGTGCTGCCTTCTATGACCTGCTTACTCTATGGCGGGCCCTGATAGGCTTTGCCTCAACTACTCTCACAATGCTTCTGAGTGAGATACTAGTATCTCCCTTCAGTTGAAGGTGAGGGGTACAATGCAGGCAACAAGGGCTTGCAATTGGTCTGGTCGCACAGCCTGAGCATCCAACTACTGTGCTCTGCTGAGAACAGGAGGGGATGAGACAGATCAAAAGTCCGTTACTGTCACCAGCTCCTGTTTTGGGATCTTGGGTGACTTGTATTTAGTCATGTGTGATAGGCAGCAGGTGGCAGTGGAAGTTACAAGATGACTCCTGGGTGGTCTCAGCCCCAGAAGGAGCTTTTGTCTGTGGGGTGATGATGGGGAAGTCATTTTCTGACAATGGCTGGACTGGTTCATCGGAAACACAGGCCTGTGCCAGGGCAGGAAAGGGGACTTCCCAGAACCGAGAGACCGCAGCCCGTGTCTTGGCTCCTGACGGTGGCACTCTGGGCCCTGGAACCACAACTTTTCCCCTTCATGCATCAGAATTGGTGCTGATCAGGGTGCTGTGTGCTCGCTCTGTAAAGCATGGTGTGGCATGAGGACCCGCTGCCTTTGGAGGTTATAGGCCTGGCTCTGGGTCCAAACCTTGGCCTTGCTGCGAATCCCCCACGTGACTTTTGACAATGCACCCTTTCGCCTACACAAACTGGGAATTGAAACCACTCAGATGGTGACTTGAGGATTAAAAAGCAGATGTCACATAGCATCTGGCACACGGAGGAGTGCAGTGAAAGTCCTCTTCCTGCTGGGCCTCCTCAGCTCAGGCACTGTCAGGAGGCTTTGCAGCTGCTTTCTTTTTTTTTTTTTTTTGAGACGGAGTTTCACTCTTGTTACCCAGGCTGGAGTGCAATGGCGCGATCTCGGCTCACCGCTGCCTCCGCCTCCTGGGTTCAGGCAATTCTCCTGCCTCAGCCTCCTGAGAAGCTGGGATTACAGGCACGCGCCACCATGCCCAGCTAATTTTTTGTATTTTTAGTAGAGACGGGGTTTCACCATGTTGACCAGGATGGTCTCAATCTCTTGACCCTCCTCGGGCCTCCCAAAGTGCTGGGATTATAGGCTTGAGCCACCTCGCCCGGCCCTGCAGCTGCTTTCTTAAGCTCTCTCCACTTTGCTTTTTCCCCCTTCAGCGACAGAATTAAAAGACATTGACGGAATTCCTAACTGGAGAATCCCAGGAACACCCCGTCTCCAGCCCCCAATCCTGTCCTCATTTTCTACCCTGACCCCTTTCTCACTTGCCAGAGAATATTTCACATGCTTGTAGCGAAAATACCAGGGGTCTTGAGATGCCATAGCCTGAAAAGGAAGTAGAGAGAAGCAGACGAAGTGACACTTAATGTGAATGAGTTTTTCATGGACCCTGCTTCCCCATTTGAGACCCTGCTGATTTCTTTCTGCTTTTTTTCCCAAAGTCTTCTCACGTCTTAGGATTGCAGCAACCCCCTCTGCTGCCCAAACCCAAGGCGAAGTCCTTGCCAGAGTTCACCAAGGATAGCTCCAGTACGTACAGCAAGATTCCTGGTCACAAGAAGGGCCACAGGCGCACTAAGCCCCAAACAGAGGATCTAGGTGAGTTCCTGTGGGCGCCGCTCATCCATGTCCTTGTGTCTCCCCTCCCTACCATGCTGATTCCTTTGCCTCTGGCCCTGCCCAGGGACAGACCCTTCTGTGGTCCCAGTTTGATGGACAGGTCTCTTGGGTGGGCTAAGGTAGAAAGGTCCCTACTGTCTTTCCCAAGGGCTCCAGAGCTTTGGCAAGGAAAATGAGTTCAGTCCCCAGCACTCTACCCTCCCTGCAGCAGACAGGAAAACGAAATGGTTGCAAAGTGTGGAGACAAGTTGTGGTTTCCAGGCTAGCAAGGACCTTACAGCATCCAGGCCAACTCCTTCCCTGCACAGGTGAGGAAACTGCCCTAAAGGGAAGGAACTTGCCTAATGCCAAAGACTGTCATTGACTCTTTTGCAGATGACGAACATGATTATGAAGAAATACTTGAGAGCTTTCAGAAAACCCTCTAACTTCTGGAGGAACCATGCGTCCTAACTGCTGCTTCTCAGGGAACCTGAGGCCAGCTAACCGTTATAAGCCTCTAAAAGACCTCGGACAAGGCCTCATAGAAACTGAAGTGCGCATGGGGAATGGCTTTGTGGGAACTGATCTGATGGATACTGCACCAGCTTCCCTCAGGTTCCAGGTTCCTGCCACTTAGGGTGGGCTGGTTTGAACCTAACACCTCACACGTGACTCCCTCAGCCTCAGAGCCTTGGGATGCAGAGCAGCTAGCAGGGTTCCTCAATCCTGCAGCCCCAGCTGTCCCACCGATGGCTGCAGATGAGAATCGGAGGCCACCAACCTTGGTAATACCAGTGGCTCTCAGTAAAGAGGATTCCAACCTGATCACACTGCATGGGAGATTGTGTTAAGGTTTGCCACTCCCACTCTCACCCCCAAGCTCTAAGCCCCGGGAGGCCTGGACTGTCTTCCTCATCTCTGTAGCACCTAGCCTGATCTGCATGTGGTAAATGGGGGTCATATGAATTCGTGTGGGAACCTGGCTTCAAGAGCAGAATCTTAGGACTTTGGCCCACAAAAGCTGGTGGTGAAATGAGGGGAACCAATTTAAGAAGACCCTTATGGAGACCTAAGGCTGCAGAAAGCTGGTGGGTTTCATCAGGTGGTGAAAGAGTTGTGACTATCTAAGATTATTTCATTTTTAAATCAGAATGAAAATGAGCTTCTACACAAATAAGAGCGGCTATCATTTATTAAGTTCTGACTATGTGCCAGGCACTTACAAACCATATCCAAATCCTCAACTTTCTGAGGTACAGAATGGCCTGATTTTAAGATTAGGGAAGAGTCTGTGGCCAAGTGCCTTAGGACGCTGACCAGCTGCACTTAAGGGTGAGGACTTGGAATGTATGAGACTCGGTTAGGATCCCAGCTTGCTACCTATCAGCCGGGACTATAAGCAAGTTTTCTTTTTTCTTTCTTTCTTTTTTTTTTAAGAGATGGGGTTTCACCATGTTGGCTAGGCTGGTTTTGAACTCCTGACCTCGTGATCCACCCATCTCAGCCTCCCAAAGTGCTGCGAATACAGACGTGAGCCACTGCGCCCAGCCTTTTTCAATTCTATGAGCAAGTTGTTTTAACCTGTTTCCGTTTTCTGACATGTCAAATGAAACTAGTTACTACCTCAGGAGATTTAATGTTTTAAGGATCCAATGAGATAATCTTTGCAAAGCATTTAGCACAGTGCCTGGCACATAGTAAACATTCAACAAACATGTATCATGATTGAGCAAGATCATGCAGCTGTCCTGCCTCCAAAGCCTATGCTTTCTACCCCTCCAATGTTTCCTTGTCATAGGATACATCCCAGTGTTAAAAATATACCATATCCCTAGACTGTGGAGAGAAGTTGTTGGCGGGCCTCACTGTCTTTGTTTGTTTGTTTTGTGGCAAGATTAGAGAACAATTCACTGTCTTGTTTAGTGGACATTAATACAAGCCTTTGTCCGTGCAGAGACTAACTCAGTTTTCAGAGGCGGTCAAGGCCTGTTCAGTGAGATAAAGACCACAGGCCACATTTTCTCTAAGTGGTGGGACTTTGGTTTGCGGTCTGAGGCAGTCACAGTGAGCAAAGACAGGAGACAAAGAGATGATCTGATACTCAGCTGAGATGGGAATCTAAAGAGGGTCAGATGCCCACTTCCCTGGTTTCTAGGCATTGCCCCTGGGCGTGTTCTTTGCGTAACATCTCCCTGGGCTGTCTGGACTCCGTCCAGGCATGGTGGTACTTTGGAAGGTGGATGTGGATGCATCACCTGAGGTCAGGAGTTCAAAACAAAACTGGTTAACATTACAAAAATTACAAGAAATTTGGCCAGGTGCAGTGGCTTATGCCTGTAATCCCAGCACTTTGGGAGGCTGAATGAGTGAATCAGAAGGTCAAGAGATGGATACTACCCTGACCAACATGGTGAAACTCTACTAAAAATACAAAAATTAGCTGGTGTGGTGGTGCCCACCTGTAGTTTTCAGCTACTGTACTTTCAGGAGAATCACTTGAACCTGGGAGGTGGAGGTTGCAGTAAGCTGAGATCATGCCATGGCACTCACAGAGGAAGACTTCGTTCACACCTAAACAGGAAATCATTTGTTCATCTAAAATACATTTGTTATCTAATAGAAATTTAACTGAGTTGTACCTTCCAGGCCTCCGGGCCTCCATACTCCAGCACGTTCTCTAGGTGACTACTGAGTGGCTCCTACAGGCTGCTGGGCCAGTTCTTATCTGCCCATCAGCTCCCATGCCCTTCTCCAGAGAGATCAAGCTGCACTGTAAAGGAGGACCCTGAGAAAGTATTGTAGGGAGAAGCAATGGGCAAGAAACACAGAGTTCCTCCTTGGCAACAGAACCCCAAGGGGCTAGTTTTCACTTCTGCGTTTGCATTTACTCTCAGCACAAAATTGAGCAAGATGAGTAACAAAGCCACAAAATCAGGGGTGGAAGAGGGCTACCAGTTCCTATAAAATGGGCTGAGTAGCCAAATACTGTGGTGAGAAATTTCACAGCAGAGAAAGTTGGGCTTGAAAGCCACAACTGTGAATGTTTTTTTTTTTTTTAGATGGAATCTCACTCTGTGGCCCCGGTTGCAGTGCAGTGGCACCATTTTGGCTCAGTGCAAACCTCCGCCTCCCAGGTTCAAGCAATTCTCATGTCTTAGACTCCTCAGTAGCTGGGACTACAGTTGTGTGCTACTATACCCAGCTAATTTTTGTATTTTTAGTAGACAGGGTTTCACCATGCTGGCCAGGCTGGTTTCTAACTCCTGACCTCAGGTGATCCACCCACCTCTGCCTTCCAAAGTGCTGGGATTACAAGTGTGAGCCAGAGGCTGGCCATTTTATTTTAACAATGAAGATTAGCAGGAATCCAACTAGAGGTAGATACTGGCCTCAGGATTTGTTTTCTTTACCCCTGGAATAAGCCACAGAGTGGTGGGGTGTTATAATGGCGCTAGGGATTCCCCAAGGGCAGTGGTCTCCAAAGTAGGGAGCACACAGCTCTAGGGGAACACAAGATGGTCACTAGGAAACATTAGCACATTCCTTCACATTTATTTAGAGATGGGGGTCTTGTTATGTTGCCCAGGCTGGTCTCAAACTCCTGGCCTTAAATGATCCTCCCACTTTGGTCTCTCAGAGTACTGGGATTTACAGGAGTGAGTCACTGTGCCTGGCCCTATATTGGCTTTTAATATTCTTATATCTATTTTTGAATGATATTTAACATACCAATAGAGTAACAGATATAAATAATTGCTAAACAAATGAATATAAACTGTAATGGATGTCAAACAAATATATCAATCCACACCAGACACTAATTCTTACTGGCCTTTCTCTAGTTAAACCCAATAAAGTAGTCCTATTCTCCAAGAAGCCTCATTTCCCACCTGTATACAGGATTCTCCCATGAGCAGGCTGGACCACTGCTAGGCTGTGATGCTGGTGTTTCTAAGAACCTGGGTCACACTGCTGTCCCAACAATGGGCCAAGAGAATACTGTAAATTTGACCTATCAGGTGGACCACAAATGCCCACGATGCAAATTTGTCCTGCCTGGGTAGAGAAGCTCTACGAGAGCTGGAGTTTCATTCTAAGAAGTGATGAAACTCTCCTGCCTATGCTCATCCCACAGGTCCCAGCAGTGGTGAGAAAGCACACAACTCCTGTGAGACAGTGGAAATGTCAAGATGACAGGGAATTCGGCACCACTGGGCAGCTACTCTCTGCCACTGGGAATGCTGAACCAGCCAATCCTGTGATGCCAATCTCTTGTTGTGCTTTATATTCCTGGTACCTGACCTATGGGTTGATATAGCAGGTATCCGAAAACCACTAAATTAACAAGCAGTTGTTAACTGTTAAGTCATCATCTGATTTTTATCAAAAGAAAAAAAATACTTCCACCTAGAGGTACTGCTACTGCAGTACTTTTTGAGGGCACCAGCTTGATAACTAGAAAGAGAAGTACCAACCATAAAATATCCTATCACACATTCCAAACTCAAACATAGATGATTTTACTTGTTTTCAGTCATTGTTCTTTCTTTGAGAAAATAACCAAGAATGAAAACACACTTGCAAATGAACATGCTGGCTGGCTGAGTTTTACACACCTGAACAGCGCCGCGGATGTTAAAAAACTCTGTGTGTATAGAAAACATTTATTGTTCGCTGTTAGAAACCAACCAGGTGGTTGGCCTTCTCTACACAGCTGCTAGTTCTCTTTTAGAAACATAATTAGAGCAGATAGAAAATTCTTATTTGCATGTTACACTTCGCTAACTTTATCTCAAAATTAGCTCTTTCATTAAAGATGTAGTTAACTTCTAGAGTTGTCCAAAACATCTCTGAGCTAGTTTCTTTTTCTGTAAGAAACAGCTGATCAAGTTGGCCAAAAAATCAAAAAATGCCCATAGGCTTTTGGAAAGTCTCTTGAGGCCAAATGAGTAGCTATTCGATTCAGTTACATGATCACACCCTGCCAAAGAGTCAACATTAAGGTCCATTCCATAATCCCTTTAAATAGCAGTATTAGATTTAGATGCTTTACAGACTATAGTTTTATTCAATCTTTACACCAAACCCAGGGGAAATAACATTGCTTTCTTTTTGTAAATGAGGAAATGGAGGTTCTCAGAGCTGACACAGCCTACTCTATGTAAAATGAGGGAGAGCCAGAATTCAAATCCAAGTATCACTATGTTACATTGCCTCAGATGGCAAAGTAGTCATTACATTACTCAGAAATAAAAATGAGACCATTTTTACAAGTTACTACAATCGAACTGTTTTATTAAACACATGAATGTACTTACTTTGTACAAAACGCAATAACACTTCCTTTCCTCTGCCCCTGGAGGCACCACCACAGAACTTCATGTTCACAGAAACATACCGTCATGACAAGCAGCAGTCACGACAAGCAGGAAAGTGCAATTCTGAAAGTAATGCCACACAACCAAATGGGACAGAAACAGGCAGAGGCCAGCAGGTTACTCGGTTAGGGCTCTGCCTACAAGGCCCTGGTCCTGCTCATCTTCTTTCAGCAGGAAAAATTTTAAAAAGAGAAACTCCCAAGCACTATGTAAGTACTCTCCTGGTAGCGTCCTTCCAATTCCACCTATCTTGATGTTGTAACAAGCTTATTTGTAACTTCCTCAAGAAAAGCCACCCTGGATTGCATCCCTGTCAATTGTCCATCTCCCTTTCAGCTTCAAACAAAACAAAATACAACACAAGAGCAGTATGTTTCAAAAGGATGTCAGTAGAGACCTTTTAGACGTGAAACCTACTTCCTAGAAGCCATCTGGCCAAACGTATGCAGAGCTGGAGACAAGAGACTGTGAAACTAGGTCCAGTTGTAAAATATCTCAGGTACCCAATTAGATCCAGTTATTCTGCATCTGTGGATTTAAAATGATCATCATCCACAGTAGAATAGATGTGCCCCTCATTGCTCAGAAAATCCACAGCTTGCCTAGAAAGAAAGGAAAAAAAAGTCATTTTCAGGCCAGTGCAGAAGGAAACCATCTTTTGGATATGGCCAAATATGCAAATTTTGCTCATCTCCCAACTTTCTACCGTAGCTAAGAATGCACAACTATTTTGCACATATAGTTTTTATGTGCAAATAGCTATTATGGCTGTCTTGGATCCCTCTCCCAAACTGTAAAGGAAAGACAACAGGACCTCACTTAAATACAGTCTAAGCAGGAAAACAAGGATCTAAAGCTGCAGTCATGCGCACAAAATCTAGTAGAAACAGTTGTCTTTAAAAGTCCCCCTTTTCCACCCACACACTGAAACCCCTTTGGTCCCCCTCTGGGAAGTAAAGTTGTGGAAAGCAAAGGAAACGGTATGAAAGTTTCAAGCGTTTCAGGCCGGGCATAGTGGTTCACGCCTGTAATCCAAGCACTTTGGAGGCCAAGGCAGGCGGATCACCTGAGGTCGGGAGTTCAAGACCAGCCTGACCAACATGGTGAAACCCTGTCTTAAAAAAAAACAAGGCTGGGCGCGGTGGCTCACGCCTATAATCCCAGCACTTTGGGAGGCTGAGGAGGGTGGATCACGAGGTCAAGAGATCGAGACCATCCTGGTCAATGAGGTGAAACCCTGTCTCTACTAAAACTACAAAAATTAGCTGGGCATGGTGGTGCGCGCCTGTAGTCCCAGCTACTCGGGAGGCTGAGGCAGGAGAATTGCTTGAACCCAGGAGGCAGAGGTTGCAGTGAGCCAAGATCGTGCCATTGCACTCCAGTCTGGGTAACAACAGCGAAACTCCGTCTAAAAAAAAAAAAAAAAAAAAAACCTTTACAAGGTCCTAAGGGTCAGAGTCAGTAACTTACTTATCCATTTATTCATTCATTCATTCAGACACAGTTTCATTTTTGTTGCCCAGGCTGGAGTGCAATGGAGTCATCTCAGCTCACTGCAACCTCCCCCTCCTGGGTTCAAGTGATTCTCCTGCCTCAGCCTCCTGAGTAGTGGGGATTACAGGTACCTGCCACCACACCCAGCTAATTTTTGTATTTTTAGTAGAGATGAGGTTTCTCCTTGTTGTCCAGGCTGGTCTCGAACTCCTGACCTCAGGTGATCCACCCACTGGTCTCCCAAAGTGCTGGGATTACAGGTGTGAGCCACCACACCCGGCCCAGTAAGGTAAATAGCCACAATCTACAGAACACCTATGTGACAGCAGGTCTCTACCTCATCAACACAGCAACTCTGAGATAGGAATTATCCTTATTTTACAGGATAAGAAATGGAATTAGTTCTGAGCATTTCTTTTCTATCTAGGCCTGGCATATCAATTGATTTATAGTAAAAAATAACTATCACAAGTGCCATAAGTCAGTTTGTTTGATTAGTTTACTATACTAGAATCGGGAGGCTGCTTCTCTAAGATGGAATCCGGATAAGGGTGTTGGAAGGACTGATTGTTGAATAAGGTCCAGATAGTACACTCAGTCTACCATGGGAACAGTAACGGCAATGGGAGTGTACACCTGAGGACCAGGAGCTAAGGACTTCCCTCCTCCAGCCTAAATCCCATAAGGAAATCAGGTCAACTTTTTGCTCAGAATATATATCCCTCACATATAATGGTCCTTAGTGTTTCCTGAATGAAAAACTTTACTGAATGAGTGATGTGATGGGTAGCACCATTTTAGTGCATAGTCTTTTCCTATTTTTCTATAGCTGAACAATTTCCATTCTGTCAATAGGGTTTTTTTTTTGTGTGTGACAGTCTAACTCTGTCATCCAGGATGGAGTGCAGTGGCACAATCATGGCCCACCGCAGCCTTGACCTTCTGGGATCAAGTGATCCTCCCACCTCAGCTTCATTGGTAGCTGGGACTACAGGCATGCGCCACTGTGCCCAGTTAATTTTTCTGTATTGTTTTTGTGAAGACAAGGGTTTTGCCATGTTGCCCAGGCTGGTCTTGAACTCCTGAGTTCAAGCAATCTGCCCACCTAGTGCTAGGACTACAGGCATAAACTACAGTGCTTGGCCAACTTATACTTTTTTTTGAGACAAAATTTCACTGTCACCCAGGCAGGAATGCAGTGGAGTGATCTTGGCTCACTGCAACCTCCGCCTCCCAGGTTCAAGAGATTCTCTTGCCTTAGCCTCCAAATGGCTGGGATTACAGGTGTGCGCCACCACACTCGGCTAATTTTTGTATTTTTAGTAGAGACAGGGTTTCACCATGTTGGCCAGGCTGGTCTCGAACTTCTGACTTCAGGTGATCCACCGTGCATGGCCAACCAAGTTTTACTTTTTCTTTTTTTTTTTTTTTTTAAGACGGGGTTTCACCAATGTTGGTCAGGCTGGTCTTGAACTCCTGACCTCAGGTGATCCATCTGCCTTGGCCTCCAAAGTGCTTGGATTACAGGCGTGAGACACTATGCCCAGCCCCAAGTTTTACTTTTTAAACTCACTTCTCATGATCAAGAAACCTGTGAGGTGAAATAGGTACAATGCCAGAGCCTGAGCTCATGAAAATCAAATACTTACTTGATTGAGGGTACAGACATGTGTTTCAGCTGGTTCCTGAGCTCTTGAAAGTTCAACCCTTCAGGTCTTGGACAAGCCTTAATCAAATTCAGCACCTGAAGATTCAAATCAGAAAGACTTGAGCAACTATTTTGAATTGGCCCCCGCTTTGCAAACCTGAGTCCCTTTATAGGAAAGAAATGAACCAGGTACTTAAACAGTCTTAGCTCATTAAGGAAGTAACAAAATTTAAGATTGTCTGGGATGGTGTTTACCTGATTTTGGGCCACAGTGAGGCCATTTGCTGGCATAAAGCTATTCCCACCAAAGTTCCCTGCTTCACTCATTCCTGGATTGCTGATGGGTGCTTTCCCTGCTGAGGGCTGAATTAAGAAATAAGTTAACAATATTAAGAAAATCCACCAAGTTAAATACAGTCTTTACTACTTCAAATAGCCGGTTAAGCAGCTTACAAAAAACAATTTAAACAAAGTTTCCCAGTTACACTGTTTGCACTGGAATGGACGGTTATTATCTAATGAGTATTTCATAGGAAGACAGAGTAACTCTCAGAAGCACATAAATATCAAAAAGAGAAAGATAACTCCGCCTCAAAAAAAAGGAGAAAGCCACTCTTGGCTCCTTTTGTTTGTGATGTGAGAGGAACCAGAGAAGAGTAGCAGTGAGAAGAAAATCACCCAGAGACTGCTATTACAGCACCCTGGGGTTCACTCACCCAAGCACTCACTGAGTGTCAAGAGGCATGAAGCACTGCAGGCAGAGAAAAGGAGATACAGGCCCTATCACACTCGCGCCTTCTTTTTTTACTACCAAATTCTTCGAATGCTCTGCAATCACTATTTTCATTTCCTTTGTCCCCAGTCACTCCTCAGCCCACCATGTTTAGGTTCTCCCCAAGTGCACCTCTGAAACTGTTTTCACCAAAGTCACCAATACCTTTTCAACCAATTATACAAAAGTCTCTTTCAGTCCTTGTCACAAATGACCTTTCAGAAGCAGACACTACTGACCACACCTCTATTGAAATGTGTTCCTCCCTAGGCTTCCTGACACCGTATTCTTCTGGTTCTCCACTTGCCTCTCAAACTAAACCTTCTCAGTATCCCTCATTAGCCTCTTCTGTCTCCCAAAAGGCTGACAGTGACCCCAGGATTTCATTCCTGACAGCCTCCTAGGCCATAAATCCTCACTGCCACCCATCTAACTGGAAACCTCCACTTAAACATTTCAGATGCCTCAAAAGAAAATAAAATTCATTACTTTCCTCCCTAAACCTGCTTGCCCTCTTATATTCCATCTCAGTAAAACCAAACCCAATCCCAAAGACCTCAGTCATCCTTTACTCACTTTCCTCAATCTGTCACCATAGCCTATCACTCGACAGTGTAGCTCAAGTGGATCCTCATTAGCCCTGGTCTCCTGGGTGGTACCTGAGCCTCTGGCCTCTCTTACTCCCACAACCCTCCCATTGCTCTGAGTCATAACCTCCTCTAGTCGAGCCACTCCTCTACTTAAAGCTTTCAAGCAGCTCCCTCTGCCTGTGGAAAGTGTAAAACTCCTGGCTAGTCATCTGTATTTGATTCTTGACCACTCCTTCAGAAAACACTTTACTCCCCA